GTTGTGACAGGCAGGGACCACTTGTTAGAACTCCTAGTGCATTGGGGACCAATGTCCCGGGGGTGGCCTCCACCTTCCATGGCCACACTGTCCCTCTGGGCTGGATGTCACAGGTGTATGCCCTTGGCTTTAAGGCTGTGAGTGGGAAGGTCCCACAGTAGGTGTGGGTCTGTCCCCTTGACCTGAGAAGCCCCTTGACATGTGTTCTGAGTCGCTGTGAAGGTTCGGAGATGAAGTCAGGAAAATGTTATTGGACAATAATTGTTGGAAGTCTGGCAGCTAGAAATAGCACACAGTGGAAGACAATTTAGCACAGAGCAGTGAATGAGAATATCAGAGCCAGCCCACCTGGGTAGGGATTCCGCTATCCTTACGGGGGTGGGGCTTTGGGCCAGTTACTTTCTCTTTCTCCGTGCCTCAGTTCCTCACCTGTAAATGATAGTAATTTAGCTTCTGTTCCAGAGTCCTTTTCAGCAGAGTGAGTTGGTTCCTGTGGACAGTCCAGGACCATGCTTGGCCCCCCTCTCACACGCACTATTTGAGGGGGGACTGCCATTATGGGGGCCGTTTTGTCTCAGCAGGGCCATGGGCTTGAGTATCCCCATATAGGGTGTCTGTTCTTTTGAAGTACTTACCACTCTGGGACATTCTGTACGTGCCCACAGCACAGGAGCCCCCCATCCCAGACAGATCTACAGGGCAGCAGGAAGGCCACGCTGAGTAACCAGATGCTATGTTTTGCTTTCAGACTCTTTCCCAGCTTCCCTATGGGAAGGCACTCTACAGTTACGAGGGGAAAGAACCCGGCGACCTCAAGTTCAGCAAGGGCGACATCATCATCCTGCGGCGCAGGGTGGACGAGCACTGGTACCATGGGGAGCTGCACGGGGCGCACGGCTTCCTGCCCGCCAGCTACATCCAGTGCGTCCGGCCCTTGCCGCAGACCCCGCCCCAGGGCAAAGCACTTTATGATTTCGAGATGAAGGACAGAGACCAGGACAAGGACTGTCTGACCTTCACCAAGGTAAGGAGGGCCCCTGTGAACATTGTCACCCACCCTCCATTTGAATCCTGGCTCCTTCCCGAGTGCCCAAGCTCCTCCCCATTGTGCCTCAGTAAGTGGGGAGAGCAGTTATTCCTACTTCCTGAGTTTTTGTTGAAGGAGATGGCACACAGCCTGACACATAGCTGCACCCAAGAGCTGACAGGGCACTCTCTGGGTAACAGGTGCAGGACCCTCTGTCACCTAGGTGAGTCATGGTGTCTCTCCGTGGCAACTCAGGTGCAGAGGAGTGAAGTCTCTCCAGGATTGACAGGCCCTGGGAGAGGGGGATCATCAGAGGAGGCTGCTGCAGAGACCCCTTCAGCTCACAGGGAAGGGGCGGTAGGGCCCAGAAGCCAGCGTGCTGCAGCCCTGTGCTCTGGAGCACCAGAGGGCACAGACACGTGTGCTTAGGGCCAGGTCAGTCTTGCAGAGAGGGACCCGGGCTGGTGACAGACTAAATAGCATTTGCCGGCAGAATTGTCCTAGCAGAGCCCAGTGAGATGCGGAGGGGCCTGGTTTCTGGCCATCCCAGGCCTCCTTGATTGTCAAGTGTGGAGAGGACTGAGGTGATGATGGCCCTGTACACCCTGATGGTCCCTTACTAACTACAACCGACGGGCTCCATTCTTATCCGTGGGCGTCCCTCCTTCCTTGCTTCCACTGACAGACTTCTCCCGGTGCTGGGCAGGGTCGGGGCCCTGGAACACTTACCTCTGCCCAGTTCAGTAACAGCAGTGGCCCTTGATAGCTTTACCAGCCCCATCACTCTTTATCTCAACTGTCTTCCTGATGTTGGAGCCCAAGCTCCAAGAGGCACAGTCACTTACCTGAGGCTGGTGGCTCGGGCTTCTCCTTCCACCTTCCATCTTCTGTTTCCTATCTGTCCTGCTCCCCGCTCCGCACCCCCTGCCTCATGTGGGCGCTGTTGTAAATAACGGTTGTAAATAACAGAGCTAGAACTCTGAATCTCTGACTTCAAGCCCATGTCCTTCCCACTTCTGAGAGGCCATTGTTAGTCTCCCTCTGCCCCATCTGCAGAACTTGGCTGTGCTACTGAGCTTTCTGGAGGGCCGCTGGAGTACCGTGCACACCATTTTTGAGCAAAATTGGCATGTCCTGCACATGGCTGCTATTTATGTCTTGTTCCATTGTTCAGACTGACAGTGAATAATCTATTTTTCATTCATGGATTCAACTCTTTCTTCCTTCCTTTCATCAAGGTGTTCTGATGCTAATTCTGATTGTCATCTGGCTGATGCAGTTTCCCAGGAAGCTGCAGCCAAACCTGTCCCTCCTTACCTTCCCCCTCCGCCTCTTCCTCTCTGGCTCTCTCAGTCTGTGGCCTGGAGTGACAGGCTGCCTGGAGTGCAATGTCAGACAGAGCCCCCACTTTGCTCACTTCTCTGCCCAATGGACTCTGGAGAGCCTCCTTTGAGAGAAGAACGCCCTGGGGGCCTGTGACGCTCTGTGCTGTCACTTGTCACCAAGAGCAGGGACCCCTCTCGACCTCTCGGGTTCTGGTTGGGCTCTTGCTAAGGAGACAGACTCTGTTATGGCTCCAGGCTTCTCTGAGCTCAGCCAGCTCCAGGAACAGACACAGCGTCCTCACAGAATTGTGTTGGAGGAGGCTCTTCGAGCCAGGAGAGCTCAATTTGCACTGACCACTGCAGAGTGCTGGAGCCCCCAGCTTCCCCTGGCATGAGCAAAGGCCTGCCTTTCCCATCACCATCATAACCTACTGTGTTCTACAAGCCTCTGCCTGGGGCAGTCAACTCCAGGGTGAAGCCCAGAGCGCATCGGACAAGAAGATAGAGAGGCATTTGTCCACTTACCAACAAGATGTACTAGCCTCCAACTCTGCTGGGCACCGTGCTACACCCAGGGGCCACAGACAGACCTGCTGCGCTCCAGAGCCTCAAGTCTGGTGGGAGAGACAGGCAGTAGCAAGTTAAGAAATAAGTGTTCCAGAGTCAGCCTCAGAGAACAACCCTGGTCACCCGGGAGCTAGAGTAGGCATTTAGTAAGGGCTCCAAAATATTCAATGATAGCCCTTCGTGTTTGGCATTTCAAAAGAAGCAGTAAAGTAGTTCTCATGGGGAAAATTAGAACTCAGGCTTTCTTAGACTCATTCTGTGGTTGGCATTGTTCTTACTTGGAATTAGGTTGGGGGTACAATGATGGTGTCTGGGGTGTGAGCAGGCATCACTGTTGAGGTGTCTGTGGTCATGAGGGCTTCTGGGGAGATGGCATGTGAGTTAAGATTGAGGGGCAAAGGCACCAGGCACAAGAGGGTCTCAGGGGGTGGTCTCCAGCCACAGAATGTGGCTGTTCCCACAGGAAGTCAGGTAGGAAGTGTGTATCTCAGGGTGTTTTTCAAGGACTTTTTTTTCCCTTGAATCCTATGGATTAATGTGGAGAGTTAGAGACCCCTGCACATGATTCCCACCAAAAATTGTGCTGTGACATCCATCCCCTGCCATGTTCACATAACCTTTTTAGGAGCACCTACTTTTGCCATCTGCTTGGGTTAGGGCACAGGCACCCCTACCAAGCCCCTGTTCTCTCTGCAGCTCTTACCTCTAAACCTCTTCAAACAAAGCCTCTGAAGGACATGGGTGAGGAATCATGCCTCTCTCCTGCTCCGTTCATATTTCCTCTTGCCCACACTGCTTGCCTGACATTTCCCTTCCATGTGCATCTGACCAGCTCATTTGTTCCCATGCCGGGGATGCTGGTTCCATCTGACAACCTCCGTTTATATCCCACCTCAAGTGACTCTGGGCTTGGCATCACTCCTTCAGACCAGCTTGATTTTGCCTGCCTGGAGTGCTTTGTTGTTTGCATGTGTTCCACTCTGGAGTCAGCAAGGGAAGAGGGGTCTCTAAAATCCATGGATGATGCTCACTTACCTTTCAAAAGCATCATGGTGATGGGATTGATCGGATTTAAAAAGGCAGGAAGCAGGTGGATCAAAGCAAGATTTTTTACCTTCAGCATTGGCTTTTGAACAGTCCTGTTAAAATTGCATTAATCAGAGCCATTCTAAAACCAAAGTCCTTGCTTCATTTAAGAAGAGAATGAATAATTACTTTTGGTAAAGCAGCTATAAAAAGCATATTTTATAGCTTCATAGTCGTCCCACTCCAAAAAGCGGGCCACATGCAAATGCCAAGACTAAAGGAAAGAAGTGCCCTGAGCTCTCGGCTTGCTGAGCTCTCGCAAGCTCTCCCATGGGGCATTGATGCCTGCCACCCTCCACATGCACAGAGAGGGAATGGGTTTGCTGGGGAGGCGCCCTTGTGTAGGGACTTCGCAGTTAGGGATCCCACAGGTGACCTCGGGGAAACATTTCACCTTGCCGGGCCCCCTAATCTTCAGGATCGGGACACAGATCCTACAGGGGCTGCCAGGGGCCAAGTGATGCAAGTATAGAGCTAAGCTTTGGGCTTGGCAGACGAGAGGGGACTTTGAGTTCCAGGCTTTCTGTGGCAGCTTACTCCATGCTACCTTATTGTCACTCAACTACAAAATTCAACAAATATTCATTGAGCCCTGACTACGTACATTCCAGTTAATGAGAACATCTTCATCGCCCTGCCAGGGAGCTGTGCTGAATGTCAAGGGCCTGGGGCTGCCCTTTAGTGAATTGACTCCATAATGCTCAGGAATCCTGAGAGGCCATGAGATTTTCTCAGGTGGCACCTGGTTGACCCCAGAGTCACTTTTGCACTGGCTAGCAGCGGGAGCCTGAGGCTTACCGTGTTGGACTGATCTCCATCGTGCTTGCCACATGAGGCTGCAGGACAGTGGACATAGGGACAGCTCCCTTACACCCTTCACCTCACACTCTCCCTTCCCCAGCCTTCCCCCCTGGGGCCTGAGGGATGCTCTGAGTTGGCAAAGACCTGTGTAAAACACCACCACACTGTCCCAGCCTAGCCCTAATTTTCTGCTGTTGGGGTCACCACAAGACCCTTCCATGTGATCTTATTATGCTGATTAATGTTTAATCATTGTCTCCCAAAAGTGTGGGACTTCTCTCCTATGTGAATTACCCCAGCATTAATCCCAAACTATGTTCTGATCCAGGGGACAGGCTTAGATAAAAATCAAGTATGGACAGTTTGGGCTCTAGAGTCGGTAAACAGATACAAATCATGACACTTTTTTATTATTAAATGGTAACTTTGGGACATGTATTTGGTCTTTGAGTCTCCTTTTTTTAACTGTACAGTGGAGTTGATAATAGGATTCAGTGAGCAAGGGCATTTAGAGAACCAAGCTCAGAATAGGTATTCAATAAATATTTGCTTTCTGTCCTCTGCTTTCTTCCTGCTTCAGAAAAAGATAAAGTTCAGTCAGATACTTATCACTTTTTATGTTAGTCCAAAATGCTCACAGGAAAACAAACACCCTTCCTAAGTTACATACTACTTGGAGAGATGAGAATTTGGCTAGTTAGCTAGACCCTTATATTTCTGGTGGCTAAATCCCTCAGGGTATTGCCCAGGGGTTATGAAATCTCAGCCTCTGTGTCAAGACTGTTGTCCCCATTGCTGGGCACCCAGGCCTGCTGTGTCATCTCTGCTTCTTTCTGAGGGGCACTGGGAATGCTTTTAGGACTGGAAAGACTCAGGAAGCAAAGCGAGATGAGCCTCAGTGCAGTGCTCCACTCAGGCTACCCTCAGAAGTTACCAGAGAATCTCAGTCGCCTTTGTGGCTCCTGGCTTCTGGTTCCCTCCTTCCAGCCACCTCTGAGTCCTGCTCGGCCTGGGTGGAGGAGGCACCTGGCTAAGGTGACCAACCCCAAGCATGAGCACAGAGGAGGTGACAGGGAGCACAGTGACAGCCTGGGGGCTGCTGAGGAGTGTCCTTGCCCACCCACGCCCACCTCTCTCCCAGGCTCAGTTCCAGGCCTGCCCCCGGCTCATTCCACTCATGGCTACACTGGCCTCCAGGCCCCTGTCCCTACATCCTGT